CCCCCCCAGAGACAGAGTTTTGCTCTTGTTGCCCAGACTGGAGTGCAGTGGCGCGATCTCAGCTCATTGCAACCTTTGCCTCTTGGGTTCAAGTGATTCTCCTGCCTCAGCCTCCTGAGTAGCTGGGATTACAGGCGCCCGCTACCACGCCCGGCTAGTTTTTTGTACTTTTAGTAGAGACAAGGTTTCACCATGTTGGCCAGGCTGGTCTCAAACTCCTGACCTCAGGTGATCCACCCGTCTTGGCCTCCCAGAGTGCTGGGATTACAAGTGTGAGCCACCGTGCCTGGCCTCAGAATATCTTATTATACTGTGCTCATTCTTCTTATGACGATGTGAGATAATACAATGCCCACACGTTGAGATAAAATGAGGTGAACAGTGAGATAATTCATATCCAGGGTGAGATGGAGTGGGTCAACATGACATTCCATCACAGTATTTAGAATGGCATGCAATTTAAAACTTGTACATTGTGTATTTCTAGAATCTTTCATTTAATATTTTTGGACTGCTGTTGATTATGGGAAATTGTGGAAAGTGCAACTGGGCTGGGCTCTGTGGCTTATGCCTGTAATCTCAGCACTTTGGGAGGCAAAGGCAGGAGGATCACTTGAGCTCAGGAGTTCAAGACCAGCCTGGGCAATGTAGTGAGACCCCATCTCTACAAAAAAATACAAAAATTAGCCAGGCATGGTGGTTTGCACCTGTGGGATCACTTGAGCCCAGGAGTTCGAGGCTGCTGTGAGCCAAGATCATGTCACTGCAATTCCAGCCTGGGCAATAGAGCAAGTCCCTGTTGAAAGAAAAGAGAGAGAGAGAGAGAGAAGGAGAGAGAAAAAAGAAGGAAGGAAGGAAGAGGAAGGAAGGAAGGGAGAGAGGGAGGGAGGGAAGGAAGAAAAGGAAGGAAGGAAGGAAGGAAAAAAGAAGAAGGAAAGGAAAAGAAGGAAGAAAGAGAAACTGTGGAAAATGGGGGATGCCTGTATTTTTAAAATAAAATGTACTATATGATACTATAAAATAATCCCACTGATGTTTGACTAGTACCACCGACAACGTGAAACAGAAAGCTTTTGTGATCCTGGTTACAGATTGTATCAGAGGATTCACAATACAAGAGCCTGCAGGCAGCTACTGCTTGTTATATAGAAACAGCTAAGAGAAGCATAATTCTTTCCAGCAGACACCTGGGACACACGAGGGCTTTCTTTCAATAGGCTGCTTAAGCCCCATGGCTTCAGCAAAATCTCAAAATCGATATGAGACTCTATTCATCTGATTAATTTTTCTAATTATTCAGCAGTTTTTTGTAGTTTAGTTTTATTGTACAGAAAATCAGTCCATTGAATGTTTATGAAACCCAGAACGTGCAATGTTGTAGATTTATTTGTACAGAAGGAATTTTAATTTTTGTATATATAAAGGTCACAGGACTCGTCAGTGGAAGCAGCTTTTGAATATTTGCTTTGTCACTTGCTAGGTATCTGTGACCTTGGAAAAAATGTCTAGCGCTTCCTGTGATTAGGTGGGCCAGGAGCCATGCCTCATGCCTGTAATTCCAACACTTTGGGAGGCCGAGGCGGGCAGATCACCTGAGGTCAGGAGTTTGAGAACAGCCTGACCAACATGGTGAAACCCCGTCTCTACTAAAAAATACA